AGGACATAGACCTAGGCTTCTAATGCCTGCTGGGCCACTTATCCTTGGTGTGATCTGGGAGTTACTAACACTTTTCATTCTGTCTTTTCAAGTTTAAGTGGGAATAGGATTAATACCCTCATAGAACCATTATAATCTGAATAAAGTTTCATATGTGAAAGTTCCTAGCATAGTGTTCAACAAATCATAGTGTCACCATATGACTAAATTACTTCACTGAGACTTCTCAACTAAAATACTGATATGTAGAAATTCTTTTTAAAAAATCACATCTTGATGGGGACCAGCAAATGGCATAATGGCTATGTTGCTGGACTCCCACGTAGTCGACTATAGTTCAAGTCCCAGATCAGTGATTAAAACTCAAGTCAAGCACGTGTGCCTTCATGCCCAAGATGCTAAGAGGAGAATGGAGAAGGTATTGTAGCGTAGCTATACCCCCTGGGCGGGGGGGTGACTTCTCAAGTTCTCTGTCTCCATCTCTCTGGTGAGCACACATGCCCTACAACAACAACAATAAAAAATTAAAAAAAAAAAAAAAAACTCAAAAGAAAGAAAAAAGCACATTTTGGGCCAGCTCCATGGCTTGGTATTTGAATAAGCTGGATCCCACATAGCTGACTGTACAATTCGGGTCTTGCGCCCCATGGCTCAAGAAGCAGACAAACGCATGTGCCCAAAATCCAGCGAGGAGGAAGGGGTGGAGAAGGGATAGTGTCACAGCCATACCCCATGAGGTGCTTTCTCCCTTCCGTCCCTCTGTCTCTCTCTGGTGAGTGCACATGCCTTCCAGCAAAATAAAACAAAATAAATTACATCTCATATTTTCCTCCAAAAAAGACTAAGAATTATGAATGAAAACAGAGTAGAGGGTAATGATCCTTAAGGATTTTATTCCTCCAAAATTTTTCTTCATTCACGACTGAGCACAAAACATTACAATGTCAAAGCAATAACTACACTAAAAGTTAATATTTCATGAACTGTAAACTTGGGCAAACTGCTAACCTATAAAATGCTATTGCAAAAAGTTGTGGGATTATTATCTCATTTGTCACTCTGCTCAGTGACGGTACTTTTCTTCAATACTTACGATAGTCATGAACGGCCACAACTCTGGAAAAATAACTTTTTCGCAACTCTGAAAAAAATCACTCAGGGAGTGAAAACCAGGTAAAGGATACATGTATTGAAATGACACTTGAAGGAAGGAAAAACGGGAGGGACTTGCTCCCCAGGAGCGGTTAACATTAGGTCATCATAGCTCAGGTGTCTCAGTGAGGTCTTCGGACTCTGATAGCGACTTACACGAAGACTGTTATAAAATTACACGGTGACAGAGCTCATTGTGAAGATTTCATTGGTTCTAAAACAAACCATTCCCTCCCCCCGTCCCTGCCTCTGAAGAGCAAGCGCTCCCACTGCATCCTCAGTCCCAATCCATGCTCCCCTGTAACGTGCATTCTGACTAATCGGGGCGATGTCAACCCCCTGGGGTTTTGTTCTGTTGCTGGCTTGGGTTTGTAAGTGTCTTTACTCCTTTCTTGTTCTTTCAACTTTTGGGTATGTCCAGAGTCAACTGTTTATAGCGCCTCTGATTTCTCTTCCTTGTGTTTTAGATGGAGACACCACAATAAAACTATCTCAGGACCAACTGTCTTTCACCCGAAGACTAGACAGGACAGTGCACATAAGCTGCAGGCTCTCTGGGGTTCCCCTTGACAATGCCATTGTGCACTGGTATCAACACAAAGAAGGAGAGCCCTTGAAACGAATCCTTTACGGCTCTTCCAAGAAATACAAGAAAGACCAGCCCAATCCCCGCTTGGAGGCAGATGAGAAAGATGACGGTGTCTTTTACCTGATAATTAACAATGTGATCCAGTCGGATGAAGCCACGTACTACTGCGCCTGCTGGGATTTCACAGTGTCTGCGAGTCAGTAGGGACCTGTAAGAAAACCTTCCCCTGCTACTCCTCCCCTGCTTTCCCAGCCGTGCGACCACATCAAGCTCTTTCGTGCACTTACTGGTTGGTTTGGAGGCTGTTAAACATTGCCCTTGGGACTTATTTACCCCAGTGCCCATACTTCAAAAAAGGAAGCTGGGGCCCGGAGACAGCAAGGGACTTGCCTCAAGTCAGTTAACGAAAGAGGCAGGGCTGCACTCCCACAGTCTGAGTTCTTGGTCTAGCACCTCTTTCGGTCTCTCGTCATCAAGGTGGACTTTTTTTTTTCTTTAACAAAATTGCAGTTCTTTTTCAGGGAGCTCTGGCAACTATGCCATGCAATGCCCTAAGGCTCCAGTTAGGTCTGATGCAGTCCAAGTACCCACCGCACGGCTTAGGGTGGGGATGAAGGTCAGCAAGGGAAAACTCCATGCTCCTCCTGCCTCTCTATGCTGTTTCTACTTCTGTTGTCTTTTTAAAGAATTACTTAATTTTATTTATTGTTATTATTATCATTATTATTTTATTACACACAACAGATATTTGTTTCTTTTTCCAATTTTTTACTATCACAAAGCTGCAATGAATATTCTTATGTACATCTCTGTATGCATAAACACAATAGATTTTTATTACTGAATCATTTTTTTACTCATATACATAGTATTCACTATGGAGCAGGGGGAAACATTAAATTCTAGTAGTCTAACACATGACACTATAATCAACTACTGCAGTGCTTTTCTATAAATATATATTTATATTTTACATGTAATCACTAGACATCTGTACAATGTACAACATGGTTTTTCCCAGCACGAATACAGTGCACGTCAGTCAAGACCAAGACATCATCATATTCATTATTGCCAGCAAATGCCTTTCCATTTTTGTGTCAATGGAACATATTATTTGTTTTTTCCCTTGTTGTTCCCCTCCCTCCCTCTCCGTATTACCCATCCCCTGTCACCTGCCCCTTACTGTCTGCAGTACCCACAAATGCCCTCCCTGCTACCGTGGCTTCCAATCTTTCAGTTTCTGCCAGAGACTGCGGACATTCAGTGTATATTGACAGGGACGTACGAAGTATGCTTTTCATAGTCTGGTTTGCTTTGTTTGCATTATTCTTCCGAATTCTTCCACTTTGAATCAAATGTCAGGATCTCATTGTTTCTTATGGCTGAGTAGTATTCCATAGAGGACATGTGCCACATTTTTTCCAATCCAGTCATCTATTTTTGGACATTTGGGTTGATTCCATGTCCTAGAAATTATAAATAATGCTGCAGTAAATGTGGATGTGCAAGTGTTTTTCTGACTGAGGGTTTTTCTTTACTTGGGTAAATACCTGAGTGGAACTACCGGGTTTTATGGTAGACCTATTTGTAGGTTCTGAGAAATCTCCATATCATTCTCCACAGTGGTTGTGTGGTTGTACTAATTTACATTCCCACTAACAGTGTAGGAGGCTTTTTTTTTTTTTTTTTTGTAAAGAAGTGTTTGTACAGGACATATGTGCTCACCAGACAGACAAAGAAAAATAGAGAGACAGAAAGCAAGAAATCACCCCACAGAGGGGATGGCCACACTGCAATCCCTTCTCCTCCATTCTCCTCTCAGGATTTTGGGCATGCATGCACATGTGCCTGGCATGAGTTTTAAGCTGCCAGGTCTGGGACTCAAACCATGGTTGACTATGTCGAAGTCCAGCGATGTAACTATTTCATCATCTGCTGATTTCAAGGAAGCTTCCCTTTTCACCAGAGCCTCACCAGCACTTATCACTATTTTATTTTATTTTTCCTCCATTCTCCTCTCAGGATTTTGGGCATGCATGCACATGTGCCTGGCATGAGTTTTAAGCTGCCAGGTCTGGGACTCAAACCATGGTTGACTATGTCGAAGTCCAGCGATGTAACTATTTCATCATCTGCTGATTTCAAGGAAGCTTCCCTTTTCACCAGAGCCTCACCAGCACTTATCACTATTTTATTTTATTTTTAATTAAAGATGGGAAAATGAGCTGAACAGACAACTCTCCAAAGAAGACATACAAACAGCCAAAAGGCATATGAAAACATGCTCTATATCTCTTATCATAAGAGAAATGCAAATCAAAATCAAAATGAGATACCATTTAGCCCCAGTTAGAATGGCTAAATTAAAAAAAAAATGATCGGATCAAGCAGATAGAATAATGATTATGTCTCTGGACTCCCATGCAGTCAACTGTGGTTTGAGTCCTGGACCTGGCAACTTAAAATTCAGACCGCGGTCGACTACGTGGGAGTCCAGCGACATAGCAATTATGCTAACTGCTGGTTCCCTACAATTGTATTATTGAACTTATGCAAATGACCATCCTGCCACAAAATAAATGCTTACAAATATTTTCCAATTGCAAAAGGGTCAGGAAGGGAGAAAGGTTTATGTTTAAATTTAAAAAAAGAAAATTAACAAATTGCTAAACTTGTCAACAACTCACAGAGAACCCAAATCCTTAAATGTGGAAGACAAAGCATAGGAGAAGATCAGTGATTCAGACAAGTCTTTTTTTTTTTTTTTTGGAGAGATTTTTGCTATAGGGCACGTGTGCT